AAACTTATGCTTTAATATATATATAATTAAAAGAGTACAAATATATAACGAGCATAATTAATGTGCAAGACACGTCATAAAAAAGAGTAATATTATTAAAAATAGAAATAAAAATTTGAGAACACAATGTGAAATAAAATATTATTAAAAATAAAAATAAAAATAAGGAAAAGCTAAAACAAATTAGACCAAAACAAAACAAAATCAATCGAACAGAAACTCTAGGACCATGCCAAAAACTACTTAGCTAATGGATCTGCAAATACATTCCTACCTCTCTTAACATGAGTAAACCTTACAAAGATAAACACGACACCATTGTACCAAAATCCCTCCAATATCTATTGTATGTAATGATTTTTCTTACAACTTTCATGTTGATTATAATTTTCTCCAATATCTCAAATAAATTATTGTAATGTTTACCCATTCATTTATATAATAAGTTATCATAAATATAACTTATGATAAAATGAATATTGCATTGTATTACTTTCATGTATATCCAATGATGAAAATATTTATTTTAAACTTATGTATGCGTTGAAGATTATATATAATAGAAATGGAGTAATTTTATTTTTGAATAATTTATTCCACAATTTGTTCCCGGAAAGATGAGAATTTTTTTGACATTCTTGTGATTTTTTTTTTTCTTGATCTAAATTAAGCATATAACGATAGGGAAATGGCATTTCATGGTAGAAATAGTAATTCGCTGCTTTGGAGAGTTTAATTAACTCTAACTGAAATTTAGCAAAAAAAACTTTTTTGATAATATTGTATTACTAGTTGAGAACTTAATTTGGCATTTAGATATTCTAATTAATAAAAAAAAGGTAAAGCAAATTTGACCAACCACAATGATAAAAAAAAAAATGTCATAAAATGACTTGAGAAATTGAATCCACCTTGAGCTAAGTGATAAAAATTATAATAAATAATAATATTCTATTACTAATAAAAAGGATTATCTATATATTATAATAAATAAAAATAGAAAACCATAAAATTTAGATTTAGTTCATATAATCTATAATATTTTTCATAAATTATGATATATGCAAATAAATTTAAATACTAATAAACCTATTGATGAATCAATCTGAATTTATAAAATATAAATATTTATAAATATTTGATCTATTTAGCTCATAATTTCTTTCATAAACTAAGATCAAATAACCTTTTACCTTTAAACTTGTATTTACCTTTACCTTTATTTGGAATAAATGAATTCCATAAAATTTTACGGAATTTATTTATAAATTCAAATTTTTGTTTTTGTATGAAAAAATAAAGAATTAAAATCTTGAATTATACATTTTTGATGTATGCAAAGCTGTGGGGATTTTGCAATTAATTTTGATTAATATAAAGCAATTAATCTTCATTAATCAACCATATGAAAATCTTGAATTATACATTATTAATTAATAAAACTAGCTAATAATTTAAAAATAATTATAAATATATATTTAATACATCTAATGGATGGGATTGTCAAACATAACCATATGGAAATCTTGCCTCTGCCATTTATTGATTTATCAAAAGGGAAAAAAAAAAAAAATTCAATTCTCAACATTTTCCCATTTTTCCACATTTTCTCCACTTTATGCTCTCGCTAGCCTATTGCACTGAATTGATTTTGAAGAACATCGATTCTATCAGAATACAAGATTATTTAACCATATTAAGCTAATATGAATTTAATGACTAATTTTATAATCATTATAATTTTTTCCGATATCTCAAATAAATATTTTAAAATATCTCAAGTATTAATAATAACTCATCATACAATATTGCAACTTACCATACATAGAGCTACCTTGCATTTAAATGAATATTTTATGTAGTTGTAGAATAACTACTTTCATGTATAGTTAATGATAACAAATTTGTTTAAGAGCGCAAGTGTTATATTTTTAATTCACCAAAAATTATAATATAAGCTGAAAATTATATATAATCATAATTTAGTTGCTTATTTATTTTTATAATGATTTGATTTTTTTTTTTAACATTCGATGTTGATATAATCTTCTCTAATTCAACAAATTAAGAATGTGATTTAAAAAAAAAAATTGAATTAATCATATAACCATGGGGAAAGAGCATTTCATGTAAGTGTCTATATATATAAGGGCATTTTAGTATTTGCACTAAATTAGTTTTTATAAATTTAGGGATGAAGTAATTAATTAAGCCAAAAATATTTTTCCTTTTATTATTTGGATTATTTATTTCGTTTGTGGATATATTATTATAAGATTGAGATTATTATTTATCAACTTAATTAACAGCTAATAATAGAATTGGTTTAAGTAAATTTTACTAAAATGAGTTTTAATATGCATATTATAGGTTGTTCAATTTTTTTTTATAATAAAGGTAAATATTCGATTATTAGAAGAATAGATTTATATATCTAATTATATAATTGATTGCATACAAAATAACATATCTAGCACACATGTAAATCTAATAAACATTTCGTGATTGATCTAAATTGTTGAAATTGATAAATAAAAAATTTATGAAAATGAGGAATTTGATGAGTCTATATTGTATTTTTATTGGTGGCACTTCGAGAAAGCGAGGGATAGTTAAATAAATCAAAATATAAAATATTTCCATTATAAATTTATCTTTATTAATTTAAATTTGGAAAACATATATTGATAAATGTGCAATGTTAAACAGTAAAAAATAAGTTCAACTATATTGTGGTGACTTGATTTTTTTAATTTTAATATTAAAGAATTAAGCTGACTTCAGTAATTTGATAAAAGGCCAATCCATAAAACATTACTCATAATAAAAACAACAAAAAAAACGAAATTTATTGCTTAAAAAAATGATTTTATTGAAATTAAGAATTTATTCCTTAAAAACAATAAATGAGTTAATTGAAATTACATAAAAAAAGAATATCCGCTACAACTAATTAGAAGAAACCATTTGGTTCTCATACCGTGGAAAATTATTATTTCTCCGCATTTTTTAAGCTCTTGAATCTTTCATCTGGGTTAAGTTAATTTTTGGATAAGTCTAATGGTTTTGATTTAGTTGCCTCTAATATTAGGTTTTCCCTAAATATATTAAAAAATTAATAAAAAAAATTATTTACTGTTAAAAAAAATAAGAATAAAGATTAATGTTAAAATTGGTTTGGTTGATTAAACTGTCATTAGCTAATAGAATAATAATACAAGTAATTTATTAAAACAAATATATTATAAAAGTATTTGCAATCTCTTGTTTACTAAAAAGATCTAAAACAGATTAAGATAAAACAGAACAAGATCAACCCGATCACAATCTCTAAAACCATGCCAAAAACTACTCATTAACAGAAACTCCCATTTTAGCTAATTGATATGCAAATACATTCCTATCCATCTCAAAATGGAAGACTTCACGGAAGATAAACACGACATCAATTTATCTATTATTAAAATACTTCCAATATCTATTGTATATAATAATATTTCTTATAACTATTATATTAATTATAATTTTCTCCAATATCTCAAATAAATTATTATAAAGTTTACCCATTAATTTATATAATAAGTTATCATAAATATTACAAGCTCTTGTTTAAATGAATATTACATGGTATTGTACAATAATTACTTTCACGTATATCCAATGATGAAAATATTTATTTAAAACTTATGCATGCGTGTTAATTCTATGCTTTGAAGATAATATTGTTTATAATAGAAATGGAGTAATTTTATTTTTGAATAATTTATTCCCCTGTTTGTTCTTGGAAAGATTAGAATTTTTTAAACATTCTTGTAATTTTTGTGTCTTGAACTAAATTAAGCATGTAAGGATTGGCATTTCAGGGTAGAAATAGTTTTTTGCTACTTTGGAGAGTATAATTAACTCTAACTGAAATTTAACATTTAGATATTACTAGTTGAGAAATTAATTTGACATTTAGATATTCTAATCAATAATAAAAAAAGGTAGATTTGACGAACTACAATGGTAAAAAAAGCCTTGTAAAATGACTTTAGAAATTGAATCCACCTTAAGCTAAGTGATAAAAATTATAATAAATAATAATATTCTATTACTAATAAAAAGGATTATCTATAATATTACAATAAATAAAAATGGGGTCATGATCTGAAAAATATAAAATTTAGATTTAGTTCATTTTGTTGTCAGAGTGTAATACCCTGAATTTTTATTTTCAAAAATTTTCCAATTAAATTTAATGAACCGACAGCTTGAAAATTATATTAATATTTTAGTTCGAATACTATTAATTATAATGACGACGCTTTGAAAATTATATTTAATATTTTTAGTTCGAATACTGTGATACCGAAACCGAAAAAATCGATTGGAAACTCAAAAACCAACGAAAGATGAAGGACAAAATCACTGAATTGGACCGACCGGTTTTTGAATCGAACCGGAAACCGCCCATTTCTTTCTTTCTTTTCTTATCTTTCTCTTCGTTTATTATTTCCTTCTCCTTCTCTTCAGTTGCGTCACCATCCTCCTCCTCCTCTCCTTCGATTCCGTCCTTCCGGCCACCATTCGGCAAATGGAACACTCTAAAAACATCTACTCAACGCAAGGAAGAAGATTATAGCTAGAATTTTGAACTGAATTGCGTCTATTTTGGGGGAAAGAGCTTGAAGTTTCGGCCACCCGTGGTTCACTTTTTCTTCCGGCGATTCACACGACACGGCGTTTCAGCAAGCCTAGAGCCGCAAGGTAAGTACCTAATGACTCCTTCTTCTTCCTTTTCATTTGATGGCCTCCTCATGACGACTTGTAATAACCGGAATCTCGGGAAAACCCAATGAGTTTTCAACACCAACCTTTCCGGTCAATTTCCGGCCAATAGGTCATACCACCTTGATTTTGAATACATATTAGTGATCCTCTCATCAACGTAAATGATAATATTGGTTTGTTAATTTTGGTGAGATTGGACTTTTTCCGGCCACCTCGTGCACTCTCGCGTCCGGCGAGGAAAGGACTTCAAAGGCAGAATGTTCTCCTCTTTGCGCGGATCACGGAAATCAAATCCGATTTTCGATCGGTACACTCTAAAGCTTAATTTGCAATTTTTGAATAAATCCCAAGATAATTAATTAATGAATTTAATTAAGTAGTTAAATAAATTAAATTTGATATTGTTAAATATATTCCATGAATATTAATTATAACTATAAAATCGGTGTTGAAATATAAATTTCTATCTAATAATAATGTAAGTAAAATTTGGAAATTTTATTAGTAAGTAAATAGTTATAGCATAATTAATTATAATGAGAATTTAATTTGATTAAGAATATGATATGCCCGATGAATAGATGTGAAAGAATGAATGATGGTTATGGCGGACGAGATGAGTTAATGTGAATTGCCCGATGGATGGGCTGTGTGTTGACATATGGTTTATGTAAAAATTTGGATAGTCTAGTTTATATAGGAAATGCTGCCGAATTTTCAGTAAACACTTAATGAAGAATTAAACTAGTTATATCTTTAATAGGTGATAACAATTAAAACTTTTATTATTATTATTATCATGGTATTTATTATTATTATAAAAATATTACTTACTAAATAATTAGAATGCTTTATTTAATATAAGTTATAAATTAGAATAATAAAATAATTTATATAAATGAGAGACCTAAGATATATATGCATATATATAAATGACCAGTAGCCAAAATAAATAAACGAATGTGAAATATAAGTTTTTGAATTAAAATTCTTATTTAGAATTTTCTTGTTTATTTTAAAGGTTTATAAAGTACAAAATGCGAGGACAAAAGCTAGAAGCATGTGGCTAAAAAGGCAGTCCTTTTAAAGGACAATAACGAACTGTGAGTAGTATTAGATAACTAGTATCATCCACCGGCATTCATGCATTCACGGCTAAATGTTATCATGCATTATTTTGTTGAATTGCCATATCGTGCTGCCCTATTTGTATTGCTTGATTAGCTGTGATGTGATATTACTGTGCCTTGGTGAGTATACCTCGTTGCCTTTGGGTTGTGTGGAATATGGGATGCTATGTGTCACCAATTGGGTTTTGTGAGACTGTTTTCTGTATTTTCTTTGTGATCTCCTGATTATGATTTTTGATCTGTTAATGCTGGATTCTGATTCTGAGATTCTGTCCTGTAAGCCGGGTAATTTGGGAGACAGCGCCCCCGTCTTGCGTCCGCGGTTATTGTAGTGCAGCCTACTCGTTGCCGGATCTGTAATGTCACAGTTTGGAAAACAGCCGGGTTGGTCTCTTTGGGCGCACCTGATAACTAGAATCTGATGCAGCGCCGAGGATCGCCTCACTGTGTGAGCGCTTGGAAATCCTTAGATTTGTATGAGACGACTGGTGCTCCGTGTGAAAAAAAATAAAAATAAAAAATAAAATAAAAAAAAGAAGAAAGACTGGAAAAATAATGAGAGGACTGGTGTGTGAGATGAACCGGTCGGTTCCCCGACAAATGGGGGGATTGGTCCCTGGTGCAAGCAGTGAGAAGTATGAGCAAGTGTGGAGAGGCTCATCGGGGTGCGGTGACTCCACTGACTATTTCCCACGGTGATGTATTTATGAAGGTGAATAATACTTGTGAAGTTGCTGGTTGTATTGCATTTTGTGACAAATGCATGATCATGTAAATTAAACGGTAATCGATAAAAATATTTTAGTCTGTGTGATTGTGTGGGGTGAAGAGGTGAAATCTACCTACTCATTGAGTTTGCGCTCACGTATGCTCTGCCTATCTATTTTTTCTTTCAGGTAATCATGAAAGAATATGGAATAGCCTATGGAGTTGAGACCAGCTTATTGTAGAAGACGGTTAATGAAATAGAATATAACGATGTAAATAAAAGGTAGAGTTGACGCAATTGTATTTCAGTTGGGCTTTACAAAAATATAGAATAGTCCATATAAACATATGAAATGTTATTTTAAGAATGCTCTATGGTTGTAAATAAATAATAAAAGTCCATATTAAACATATGAACTGTATTTTAGATGCATATGTATAATAAGTAAATGGGCCTGAATCCATAATTATGAATATAATGTGAGATTTAAATAAATTAGGCTTACAACGGGCTTCGGGGGCCTTAAGCCTACTTAGATCCTAGTGCCGGTCCGGTCCACGGAAATGGGTCATGACACAGAGGGAGAACTACTACGCTATGCCTTGGTGTGTTAAATTTAGTTCATTTAATTTATAATATTTTTCATAAAGTATGATATATGGTCCTGCAAAATAAATTTAAATAGTAATAAACCTACTGATGAATTAAATCTGAATTTATCAAATATAAAAAATTTATTAAACTTTTGATTTATTTAGCTCATAATTTCTTTCATAAACTAAGATAAAATAATCTTACCTTTAAACTTATATTTACCTTTACCCTTATTTGGAATAAATTGAATTCCACAAATCCAAATTTTTATATTTGGTATGAAAAAAAATTTAATTATTTTCTCCCTAAATTATAAATTCAGAAATATTTATATGAACTATCCAAATTGGCTTTATTTATTTATTGGTATTTTTGGACTGTTAATATTTAAGTTTTGTTCCCCAAGGCTGAATTTGAAGCATGTCCAGGAATGCTAAACATAATGCAATGTGCAATTGTATTTAGATTTATTAACAACTATTTAATTAAAAAAGAAATGCTGACTGCAGTCGCTCTTTCAAACAACTATCTAGTAACTTCTTTTCTATTGATTGAAATAAGTTAATAATCTTTTAAGAAAAAAAAAATACATATAGCCTAAAAGAAATATATCACTTTTTTAATCTATTTATTTCAATTGATAAGGCTCTTGAAAGAGTATCCTCTTCTTAGTCACCTTGAAAAATAATTATATTATTTCAACCAATAAAAAGAAAATTGCACCAAAAAGAAAAACTGATACTGCAAGAATAGCTAGTTGAACAAGACTCGTAAGTAAGAGCTATATAAGATCAAAGAAGAAAGATAATGAAGTGGTTAATTTTGACAAAAATAAAAATTGGAAAAAATTTATATACAAAGTCATATCTTTCAAATACTAATTTTTTTTATGGGATTATAATTGTAATAATTAGTATTTTTCACCCCTTGAAAGGAAAACAATGAGAAATTCTAATAACAAGTGAGCATTTTAGCTAGGACCTTAAATTGTCAAATTCAATGTAAATACAGCTAAAATCAGAAGAAAAAAAAAAAAAAAAACTTGAAAAAAAAAAACTTGCCCTTGAATATTTAGATATGGAGGCAGTCCAATTATATATTAAAAATAATATCATGATGAGAAAAATAATCTGTTATCCAAATTGACAGTTATAGTTTGGAAATTATAATATATTATTTCTAAAAAAAATTGAATAAATAAAAATTTTTCTTTATAAAAAAAAAAAAAAAAAAAACTTGCCTGATTTATATGAGCACCAATTATAATTTCAAAATAAATTGATAGAAAAATAATCTGGTTATCCAAATTACAGTTATTATTTGGAAATTAAATCATTATTTTCTAAAAAAATGAAAAATAAAAATTTTTCTTTATTGCATATATATTAACCAAACTAAAGTAAAATTAATTGAATTTTTTGGATAATTTTTTTAATCAACAAGTAATTCAATTTATTAAGAAATAGTATAATACATATCAACAACAGAATCAATCCATGAGGATTTTTCAATATACTCAATTCTACACTTGGTATTAATTAAAAATAGGCTGATCAAGAAATACGTACAAGGAACTGTCGCTACACAACATTATTTATTGGGATTTTGATATCATGGATCTGAACTGATGTGAAGAAACAGACCAAAAAAAAAACTCAATAATGGTTAAAGTATAGGATGATAACTTTGGGAAGTCATTGGGTGTTAACCTCTGCTCTTACCTTACTAATATTATTATTATTATTTTTATAAGTTATAGCTATTATATTTTCATAGTACTTTTCTGCAATATCTCAAATAATTATTTTAGAAACTTATCATTCATTTATATAATAATAATAATAATAATAATAATAATAATAATAAGTATATGATACAAACTTATACATACATATATGCTTTGTGTATGATTCTCCAAACTTATGGTTGCCCCAGATTATGAAGAGGCACATGATAAGCATTTAGCTGACCCACCATTAATTAATTCATGTTTTCAAAGTCCTGTTCCCTGGACAAAAATGAGAAATCGGTGTAATATTAATATAATAAAAAAATTAATTAATCATAATAGTCAATCCCATTCCATTACTGCTGCTTCCAGAAAAACCTTCCTATTTTATATGATATTGATATTAAATTATTCATCTGCAATCAAATAAATTCAGCCTTATTTATGTCATTTTTATCTTTTATTTTGATTCATTAAACATTTTAATTTACAAAATTTGATCTGTTAAAAACTTTTTTTATCCATTAAACCCCTTAACTTAAAAAATTAGATAGATTAAAACACTTATTAGATAGTTAAACAATATAAAAAATAATATTTTAAAAATTATATTAACTATATATCAAATCAATATTTTATATATAAAGTCAAAAAGTTTTATTTTAATGTAAGGAGATATGAGATTATTACAAAACTGAAGTTAAAACTGAAAAAAAGTCAGTTTTAAAGTTCAATATGTCACAATTTTTTTTTTTAATTCAAGGGTTAAATTATACAATTGGACATTAATTTAATTATCACAGAAAGGAATTCTTCGAGTTAATAATGACTTCTTCAAATAACAAATTTCCTAGTTTTTGCTTGAGCAAATCTTCCATTGAGTAAGTTAGAGAGATGAGTTATTAATTAATCTCGTAACATTAATTTACAATAAGTTGCGAAAGAAAAAAAAAAATCTTCATTTACAGCCTGAATAAAATTGGAGCACTCTCTTGTTAACTGAACCAATTCTCTAAGTATTAATTATATATATTTTATTTAGCCAATTAAAATTGTCTCTTACATCTAAAAAAATTCTTGAAACGTTTCCAAATTTACGCGCAAAACTGCAGCTGTTGCCAGTTAAAAAGACACGCTTCTGCCTCTCATGAGATTTTTTTTCCTGTACAAATTCTTTTTTTATAGAGTTAATCCACCGTTTCTTAACCCTATAAATATGATACATTACCAAAAACAACTCCATATTAGAAAAACATCATCATGAAATCGTCGTTTTCATCATATAATACATTTCCTTCTCTTCTTTTTCATCATACTCATGCCTCTACAAAGGCAACTAGAAGAATTTTCGTGGTACAGAGATCAGAATCACGTGAAAATGATAACTCCAACAGCTGGTTAGTCGACACGAATTTGATAGTTCTCAGGAAAAGAATTCATGAGATGAAAATGGTCGAGAGAAACTATGAGCCGCCTCCACATTGGATAGAATGGGAAAAGCAATATTTTACGAGTTATAATTCTTTAATATGTGAAACAATGCAGTTTGTTCAATCACAGTTGATGAACACAAGGCCTTGTGTAGCTTTGGGAGTTATGGCTTTCATTGCTTTCAGTTTGCCTTTCTCAACTGCTATTGTTTTTTCTCACTTGGTGGAGATGGGTAGGATGGTATTATTGGATGTGGGATTTAATATTAATTAATTGATTTTTTTATTATTTAGATAATTTATTTTATTTGTGGTTATAATATTTCAGATTGTGATTTATTTCATTACTTAAATTTAATTAATTTGATGGTGCTGCATGAAGCCAAACACTGCAATTAATTGATTAATTGATTTTTTATTATTTAGATAATTTATCTTATTTGTGGTTATAGTATATGAGATTGTGCTTGATTTTATATTTTTAAGTTAATTAATTTGATGGTGCTGCATGGAGCCAATGCTACAATTAATTTACTAAATTATACTAAAATGAGTTTTTATGACGATATTCTATATTCTTCTTCCTTGCCACTGTAATTAATAAATAAATATATAATATATATAGTTGTTATACATTGCCCCATGGATAGCCTTTCTCTCATTTCTCACATTAGCGAAAAAGCTAATAAAAAAAAACTCATGGTTGACGATTTTAGAAGTAATTTTATGAGAGTCAGATTGGTAACAATATATTTTATAATACTAGTAATTTTCGTAAAGATGAATATCTAATTTGTAAAATAGTTATTACTAATAATTAATTTATAATATTAGCATATGTAATTACCCTAGGGTGAGGTATACTTTTTTTTTTCTTGAAAAATTAATCAAATTTAATTAATAGACAATTACTCATAGGGACTAGATATGGAACAAAAGGATTCTCATAATTTCCTATTCGAGTCTAAGATCATTTCGAACTATACATGGCAAAACTCCTAGAGTGCTGCTTTCTTGTTTATGTTTTTCTCTTCCGAACTGTTTCTACTTTCTCAGAATAGGTTCTTGTTTATGATTTCTCCTCTTGTGAATTGTTTATTGAATAGCAAATAATGATTATTTCTAACACTTTCCACCATTCCACCAATAATCTTATTATTACATCTTATAAGTTTGTTTGTGAAAACAATCTAGGTATGTATTGGAAGTTTTCTTGAAGTTGTAAAGGGGAAATAGGGCCACTCTAATCCACTGAATGCTCTGCCTCAAGTCATCAATATCATACAGTTTATAATGTATGGGTGAGTTGTTAAGGCTAGAAACAATTAGTGGGAGAATTATTTCAATTGTTTATAGGCAAAAGTTTAACAGTAAATTACTGACCGCCTTTGTGAATGGATGTTGAGGAATCTATACATGCACAAGTGTCCTAATATTTTTAATTTAATAAACAAATTATAGTACTATGTATAGGACATTCTAAATCACCAAGCTAATTTGAAGTTAGTGACTATATTTCTAAATATGTTGATTATAATTTTCTCCAATATCTCAAATAATACTTTAGAAAACTTAACTATAATAGTTCATTTATATAGTAGGTTATCATGTGCATGGCCACTTCACATTTAAATGAATATTATTATTTTGTTGTAAATAATTACTTTCATGCATATTTAGTGATGAAGAAATTATTTCTCAATATCTTCAAATAGATACTTTTAGAAAAAACTTTGATCATATAATTAGTATTACTCTCATATTTAATATAGGCTTATTTCAATATGACATGTTGGCCACTATTCTTCATATCTGAAGTGATGGCTGTGTGGGATAGAGGGATTGGGGTGTTTTTATGCCGAGTTCATTGGAGTTTGCCATGAGTAAAGTAATGCGTGTGGAATAAGTTCGCAGTAGATAATATAGCCGGTCTGATAGAAAGTGGGGCGTGTAGCGGTTGGTTTGTTGGATGGTAGGTGCTGAGCGAGTCTGTAGACGTTGAAGAGCTGTGGCGTGTTATGGCCGGTTTGAAGAGACTGTTCCTAAAGGCGCCTCGAGCTGATAGAAAGACTGGAGTTGGGGCTGATGTAACGGCTTAGAGTGTGTTGCTGTGACATAGAATATACATCTTTTAATTGAGTGAGACTTACTTTCTTAGGAAGAATTTTACAGTGTGGAACCGATTGGTGATTCAATTAGTTAGAAGAAAGTGCCAGGGGATATTAGTGAGAGATCTAATTATATAACACAATGAGGAAAGGGGCCATTAAGTAAGTCCACCCAGTACCGAAAAGAAAAAAAACGGGTATTTAGTTGGGGACTTATAACATTAACAAAAACAATTTTGAACCAGAATTATAGTAAAACAATATAATTATATAGAAATTTTCGATCTATGTATGGAATTTTTGTAAATTAATTACTTTCATGCATTATTTAGTAGATGAAGAAGTTTGTTAAAAATGCCTGTGCATGCATTGCACTTATTGATTCTTTTGATGGAAATGAATAAATATGCGCTGCATAATATTGTGATAATCTTTATCTGATGATATAAGAATTTTATAGCGCATGACCCTATTTTACTTTATATATAGTTTATTAAATTTGATAATATGAAGCACGTTTGCACATATTATATTAATAATAATTTTTTAAGAATAGTTCATTTATATAGTAGGTTATCATGTGCATGGCCACTTCACATTTAAATGAATATTATTATTTTGTTGTAAATAATTACTTTCATGCATATTTAGTGATGAAGAAGTTGTTAAAAGGCCTGTGCATGCATGCACTTATGATTTCTTTGATGGAATGAATAAATATGCTGCTTAATTTGATAACTTTAATCTAATGATATTACGAATTTTAGCGATGACCTATTTTACTTTTTATAGTTATAAATTTTGATAATATGAAGCACGTTTTCACAATATTAATAATAATTTTTAGAATCTACGTTTTTATATGCAAAATATTGATATGATGTGTTGTTAATATAACATTTAAAATAATAATTTTTATACTTTCAACTATTTAATATGTATTTAATCAATTAATTTTACTTGTTCTAGTGTTTAATAAAATGATTGTGCAAGTTAAAGTATTTAATGATTTTGCATGATTTTAATTACTAAGTTTTGAAAGATGTTCCATTACCAAAAGTTTAAGAAAAATCCAATTAGTCTAGTAATTTTGTTAAGATTGGAATCTTGTTATTATATTTCTTTTAAGGTAAAACAGAAAGAATTAGCATTAACCAATATCACAAGAAATAACATCATAAATAAACACAGGAGGAGGGACAAGACCCCACTCCTTGAAATCTGGCATAGAACATGCAGGAGTTGCGAATAAGTGGGCAAATCTGTTCGCATACCTCCTTACAAAACTAACAGAGCTATAATTTAAAAAGGCCAACATAGCTTTGCAATCAAAGAACAATAATACCCGGTGGAGAAACTCCACGTTCCGACGTTGAAAAAAAGCAGAGAGTCAGATTCGAAAAGAACCCGTTGATACCCTTTATTCATCACCCAGCTTAGAGCTTCACGAAAACTAAGAGCCTCGGCCATAAATGGTTCCTGCGAGCCTAGCAAGACCTTCTGACATGCATTCACAACTGCACCAAGCTCATCTCTGAGAACCCATCCAGCGCCAATTTTCCCATCTTGCCTAGGAATAGCTGCGTCAGTCTTGCACTTTAGGGATCCTGCAGGGGGCTTTGACCAAACTGTCACAGCAGGTAAATTCATAGTCGATGGACAAGTTGCCAACACTCGTGCATTTTGCCATGACTGCAGAAAAGCAATAGCTGCAGACACACTTTGATGCACAGATTGCCTCTGATTCCTCCACAGCAGGTTGTTGCGGTTCTGCCAAATAGCCCAAAGTACCATACAAACAACTTTGAAATCCTCAACCTCCAACACTGCACACATATTAACCAGCCACTCCTTGATATCAGGGTGAGGATTCAAATCAAAAACATCCAAAGCACTTGGCACAGCTTGTGCCCAACAATCACGAACAAAAGAACAAACAAAGAACAAGTGCGACAAGTCCTCTGCTAATGACTGCACACAGGGCGGCTGCTATCCACCTCAACTCTTCCTTTGAGAAGCAGAGACTTGACAGGAACACAATCAGAACCTAAACTCCAGATAAAGCTTTTTATCTTTAGAGGAATATGTAATTTCCACAGGGAGAACCGGAATGCACTCATGGAATTAACAGGGGAGGGTTTATCGGCTCATTCAAAAATCGATATGCACTCTTTAACTGTATAAACCCCTTTCTTGTCTCTATTTGTTAAAAGGTCACAGCTACGGCTCCATTAAAGTAAAATTGATGTAAGTGTTGGACAGATTTTGGACGTATTTTACTGATGAAGATACTGTAGCTGATTGGAGATTATTTTGCTGAAGTCATTTAGATTTTGTTGTACTTTGTTATCTTACAATCTCCATCTCTTATGAAGTCAAGTAGCAGAAGTTGAAAAATCTGTGATGAACCTTGCTTTAAGCTTCAGTTTGGAAGACAAACTTCATTGATTTGTGGAGGTTTGGTGAAAAAACTTTAGAATAGCTCTTGTATAAATATTTTCACTATGCTATAATGGAGATTAGATCTTTTCTTTCCGCACTTATAATTCTCTGCAGAATTTTCCTTCTCTTTCTTAATTCTCTATTCTTCTAAACCAACAAATGGTACCAGAGCAACCTTGATCTCAAGGGTTTGTGTGTGAATTTGAGTGAAAATTATAGAGAAAGCCACCAAAAAAAAACCAGAGAATTAATGGGAAAACTATGTTTCTTTCCCTCAAATGGCTTCCAGTAGCATATCTCTTTCATCACCTCATTTTAATGGGAAAACTATCATGTTTGAGCTGTGAAGATGAGAGCTTATTTCAAGGGGCTTGGATTATGGCAGTATGTAGAGTTAAACAGAGTACCTCCACTTCTTAGACAAAATCCAACCCTTCAGCAGATTAGACAATATGAAGAAGAGATTGCTAAAGCTCCAAAAGCCCTGTCCTATATCCATGCAGCTATTGCAGATCCTGTCTTCACCAAGATTATGGCATGTGAGACAGCATATGAAGCTTAGAAGAAGTTAAAAATTGAGTATCATGAATCTGACAAAACTAGACAAATGCAGGTATTTAATCTAAGAGAAGAATTTGAAATGTTGAAGATGAAGGACAATGAAAAGGTGAAATATTATGTTGATAGAGTTATGAACATTGTAAACCAAATTCGATTGTTGGGAGAAGAGTTTGAAGAGAAGAGAATTGTGGAGAAAGTTATGGTGACTCCTGATGAAAAATTTGAAGCCAAGATTTCTTCTCTTGAAGATACTTGGGACCTGTCACAAATATTGTTGAATGAGCTTTCAAATGCTTTACAAGTTATAGCACAAAGAAAAGCTTACAAGAAAGAAGAAACCAATGGAGAAAAGGCTCTTGCAGCAACTCATAAAACAAAAATGCAAGAAGGAGGTCCAAGAGGCCAGCAAACTGACAGAAAACCAAAAATTAAGAACAATTTCAGAAAGAAATGGAGAAAGGGATTTCCACCTTGTCCACATTGAAAAAAAATAAACCATACCGAGAACTACTGCTGGTTCAGAACCTGGAGCTCAATGTAAGTTTGTAAGCTCACATTGAGAAAGTTTGTTCTACAAATCAGAATCAACAAACACAAGCTCATCTTGCACAAGTCACCTAAAATTCCGAAAACCATGAAGCACAACTATTTGCTGCTATTGAAATTAAACAATGTGGTGTCTCAATTGAAGCTAAAGAAGAAAGGATTTCCACTTTTTCCAGATTGAAAAAAAATAAAACCATACGAGAAATACTGCTGGTTCAGAACTGGAGCTCAATGTATTTGTAAAGACTCACAACTATTGAGAAAGGTTTGTTCTACAAAATCAGGGAGATCAACCAAATCACAATTAGCTCAATTTTCTTGGACAAGAGACAAACTTAAAATTAGCCACGATAACCATGAAGCCACAAACTATTTGCTGCTATTTGAAAATTATGAGAAAGTTTGTTCTACAAATCAGAATCAACAAACACAAGCTCATCTTGCACAAGTCACCTAAAATTCCGAAAACCATGAAGCACAACTATTTGCTGCTATTGAAATTAAACAATGTGGTGTCTCAATTGAAGCTAAAGAAGCGTGATTTCTTGATAGTTGCTGCACTAACCACATGACACCAAACTTGGTGAATTTTGATAGCTTGGATACAAACTATTGTTCAAAAGTCAGACTCAGAGATGGTAGGCTTGTCGATGTCAAAGCAAAGGAGCTGTGATTGTATTGTTTGGCCAGGTTTTCATTTAACATTTTTCAAGCTAGTTATGGACGTATTGGAGGCTTGGAAGTAAATTTCTGAAAATTTCAATGTTTTTACTGATTCTTTAATTCTATTAAAAATTTTGTTGCTGATCAAAAAAATACTAGACATAATCAGAAGAATTGCTGGTGTCATGTTTTCACTAGTTTCTTCTTTTGGGGTTGGATTTTTGCTTTCATTATAGTTGTAAATGAAGTAGGTTACTTTATTAGGCAGTGATGCAGCTATAAAATGCTATTTACAGTTATGCATTAATAGTTAGACTTCAATAATCATTATAATTAATAGTATATATAATGAGTTTGATCTAATTAACAATAATTCAGTTTAATTAATAGGCAAAAAAAAAAAAAGCAGTTTAAATTAAAATAGCTCTGCACTTGTCTGCTTAAGCAAGAAATTAATCAATATTGTTATGTTAATTAAACACCACATATAATTTTTAAGTCAAAAGAAAAAAAATAAAGTTTGAGAGATCGTAGGATAACCAAGTCTAGCAGTAATACTTTTTCAATATTGCAGGTGTTTAATTTTCAAATTAACTCCAGGTATCAATGGCTGTTCGCTAAACAAGGAATGACTTATCTGTTTTATCGCATCCTACTAACAACTTCTTGTATCTATAAAGGCGTTAGCACAAAGGGGAAAAGCAATAATCAGGGAGAAAAAGAAAAATAAAAAGATCTATTTAAAAAATAATAATAAAAATAAAAAAAATAAAAAAATAAAAAAAAAGGAAAATCTCTTTGTATCACAATGGCGATAATTTTCAAAATTTTATTACTTCTGTCCCTGTTGTTTGTTTCTGGTTATGCTCATAAAGACGCTAAGGGTGATGCTAAGGGTGAGGCTAAGGATGATGCTAAGGGTGATGATGCTGCGGTTGAAGCTAAGCTTGATGCTGAGCTTGATGCTGAGGAAAATGCTAAGGGGGATGATGCTGCTGAGAAATCTAATGATGCTAAGGTTGAGGCTAAGGGTGATGCTAAGGGTGATGCTAAGGGTGAGGCTAAGGGTGAGGCTAAGGGTGATGCTAAGGGTGATGCTAAGGATGTGCCTAAGGATGATGCTAAGGGTGATGATGCTGCGGTTGAAGCTAAGCTTGATGCTGAGCTTGATGCTGAGGAAAATGCTAAGGGGGATGATGCTGATGAGAAATCTAATGATGCTAAGGGTGAGGCTAAGGCGCTTTCAAGGGTGGAGGCTAGGCTGCGTCGAGGACTAAGGGTGATGCTAAGCGTTGATGCTAAGGATGCTGCCTAAGGATGATGCTAAAGCGTTGATTTTGATGTGCCGAGGAGCTTAGCTTGATGCTGAGCTTTGATGCTGAGGAAAAAATGCTAAGGGGGATTGATTTTGCTGATGGAGAAATCATAATGAAGCTATAGTGAAAGGCTTAAGTGGATTTAGCTCACGCTAACGTAGGTGATAATAAGTGCTATAAGATTCCAAGGTCTAAAGGGTGTCTGTCTATAGGATGATGTAAAGTGATGAGCTCAAGGTAAGAGTTGTATGTACTGAGCGAGAGCTGATATGATGTAAGTGCGTGAATGATGCTGCCGTTGCATACAGCTTGATGACTGAAGCTTGATGCTGAGTGCAAAACAATGCTATAGGGAATTAAGAATGCTTCACTTAGAGATAAATCTATCATTAGCATTTCTTAAGGGTGAGGCTAAAGGATTAAGTCTTACTATGCGGTGTTGCACTCCTTCTACATGTTCAGGATGCAAATAAGCTCCAAATGGTGAGGACTATAAGGGAGTTCAGCTAACGGTGATAGTATGCTGAACGATTATGCATTAATGATGCAGGTAAGGTTAAAGAGACTACATTATAAGGTTAAGGATAAACAACTGATAGGAGTTATCACTATGATATATAACGTGGATGTATGGAGCTATAGGTCGTGCGTTTTGTGTATTAAGGCTGTAATGCCTTCATATGTAAGTCTGAGCCTTGTCTAAGGGGCATATAGATGCTAGTGGGGGATGATGCTGAGACTGATAATGTTGATGCTAAGAAATCTAAGGAGTGAGGCTGTTGCGGTGAGAAATCTAGAAAAAGAGTTGAAGGAGTTGAGTATAAAACTTCAATAATATTTATTAATTGAATTTGTGAAATGAGTCAAATAAAAACAGGTGCAATTACGTCTTTCTGTAAGAAAAAATAGGTATCAACTAATAACATTCGGTCCTTTTATGAAAAACTTCCCATTAATTTGTTACATAATAAAAGGACAGAGGAGCTTGTCTCAATAGAAAAAATAATCTTCACTCAAGTGTTCTGTTATTTTCGAGGACTTTGTTTTCATTATCAATAAAGTTTATTTGATGCTAAGGGTGAGGCTAAGGATAAGGCTAAGGGTGATGGTAAGGGTGATGCTAAGGGTGAGGCTAAGGGTGAGGCTAAGGGTGATGCTGAGGATGATGCTAAGGGTGAGGCTAAGGGTGAAGCTAAGGGTGAGGCTAAGGATGATGCTAAGGGGGATGATGCTGCGGTTGAAGCTAAGCTTGATGCTGAGCTTGATGCTGGGGAAAATGCTAAGGGGGATGATGCTGAGACTGATAATGTTGATGCTAAGAAATCTAAGGATGAGGCTGTTGCGGTTGAGAAATCTAGAAAAGAGTTGAAGGAGTAGTTAAACTTCAATATTATAAATTGAAGTTTAAATGAGTCCAAATAAAAACAGGTGCAATTAGGTCTTTCTTGTTAAGAAAAAATAGGTATCAACTAATACATTCGTCCTTTTATGAAAAACTTCCATTATTTGTTACATAATAAAGGACAGAGGAGCTTGTTCATGAAAAACTTCCTCAGTTCATTGTTTTGTTTTCGAGGACTTGTTTCATAGTCAATAATAGTTTTCAGTTTCTTCTCAAAAAAAAAGAACAGAGTAAATATTTTGAATAATTTATTCGCGGATTCATTCTTGGAAAGATGGGTTCTTTTAACATTCTATTTCCAAAAGTTGAGTTAATCTTTTCTAATCCTAATAAATTAAGCATGTGATTTTTTGTTCTTGAGGATGATAATATATTCAACAGGTATGAATACAGCAAAGGACTTCCTAGCTATCCAAACTTCAGATTTGTCATATTATCCCTTGGAAATGTTATTGACAATATATATGATATCTAAATGAATTCATCTTTGGGTAATTAAGGGTCAAATTGAGTCCGCATCCAATAATATACATAAGGGAAAAAATTTCCAAGACTGAAGGATGGGGAAAGCTAATTTTCTTTAGTTTCTTGAACGTCATTTTTACATATTAAGCTTTTGAATTTTCAGAATAAATGAGGGGAAAGCATAAAACGTGTGGCGCTCGATCCACAGAAATACAATTGTGCAAAGCTCATGATGAACAATTTTTAGCATAGTTTCATCGAAGTGTGCTAACAAACTGAAAATTAGAAATATTTCTTGTTTGTATCCATAATCACTCAACGGTAATCTACAAAAGAGCTACAAATGCTTATGATTGTACGAATAAATTCAAAATCTACTTTCTATACTATCTCTCGACGTTCATTATCTAAGTTTTCTTTGTTTTTATTTATTTCTTCACGTTTCATTATGGATTTGTGCAATGAGATCTATATTATATATTTTTTGCATTTTTATATATGTTGATGTTTAATCTGTTTCTTTTATTCATGCTTTAATTTGCTTCTTAACCTTTGCCAAAATAATGCATATGAGTTGTGTTATCATTGCACATCCTGTTTGGAGCTTGTGGATCTACAAACATGATGCCCATTTGATCATGGAAACTTGATGCTTTCTGATGAAAACATTTAGAGGCTAAGCCAGACTCTCTTCCATTTGATGAGTTATTTTCATTTGGAAAATGTTTTTTGATGTCATCCATTTCATATTTGTGATCCTAATTAATTTTTATTTTTTCTTTCCACTTTCCTTCTCATTCCTTGGTTTTTAAGATAAAGGATAGTTTGTTATTATTTCTCTCAGATTCCTCTCTTTCATTTCACCACCTAAGTTAATTTGAATTTTGTGATAATTGTAGGATTGTTAGTTTATTTCATTGATAGAAACGTATTTACAATGTCTAACTGTATCCAAGTTGCCAAACACTATTTACAATGCCATCTACCAATATTGTTCACACGTTGAGCTACGAAAATGAATAGAAGAAACACTAAAAATTGAGAAGTTGAACAAACCAAATGAACAGAATTAAAGATGGTTTAAACCAAACAAAATGAAAACCTGAAATTGAACCAAGGAAAGCAACAAATGTTTATCCTCAAAATGAGACATAATCAAATAAAATATCAAAAAACTGAACCAAGCAGTGAGAAATTGCACAAGAATCAAATGATTTTTCAATTGAATAAAGGGACAAAAAGGATCTAAAACTGAATTGATCCATTGAGGAAAAATGTGTCTAAAATAGTATATGAATATGCTAGATTTGTGTTTTGTAGGAGATGTGTTATTAAATGGTGTCAAAGAACTAGAAGGAAGTTACTTATAAATTCACAGCATTTTAGACCATAGTCTTCTTCACATATTCATCAAGGCAAAAATAGCGCTACTCATCAAGATGGAATTTAATTTTATTTGGCTTAAATTTACTAATTAAAAGATTTGTCAATTAGGCATATTTTATTTTCTTAATAATACATAATTTTCTATTTGTTAGACATTAGATACTTTAATACAAATGGCTTTATTAACAATTTGACAATTGTATACTTATTTGCAAGTTACATCTTGATACATGTCAATAACGGATTTACATGGTAATGGATTGCCATAGTATTTCATAATATGTTATTAAATTTTAGCAATGAAATAATATAGCAACCGATTGAGCCACGGAATAAGCAATAAATTTAGTAACGGATTAGCAACGAATTGTCAACAAAATTGATACCAAATAGATAGAATATTTAGTAATAAATATTATATCAATTAGCAATGAGAACATTCAATACTAATTTAGTATCAAATACAGCATTCTGCCAAATTTAGCGACAAACCAATATGTTGTTAACTTAGTCATGGATGTTCGAGGTTTATCAACGGAAAATCTATTAATAAATTGTATTTTCTCTATTAATGTAAATCTAATAAACTTTATATCATCTCCAGCATGATTTATCAGATTCGGAGAAAACACTAGGCACCCTTTCTTTATTTTTGTTTGTCCATATGGCAAGCACAAACATAGCTAATATTACCACCTCAATAGCATCAACAACTATAACGATTAATCACTCATCTCATCATTTCAAAACCACCACCATTTTAAAGAAATAGTACAATTTAACCAACAAAGTTAATTTGAATTATTTCTATTAAAAATTATATTTATTATAATTTTCTCCAATATCTCAAATAAAATATTTAAAAGACTTGATCATAACAATGTTTAATAATTCAATTATATAATAAGTTATCATACATAAGCCCACTTCACTTTGAAATGAATATCGACTGTTATTGTAAAATAATTACTTTCATGCAGATTCAGTGATACAAAGTTCTGTTTAGAACTTATGCATGCGTTTGTAGTTTCTTTAATTCTACAAAAACTTGTTTTATATGTATATAGAGTAAATTTTATTTCTAATAATTTACTTGCTTATCTGAAAGAATAGAGTTTTCAGCGAATAAGAATGTAAATTTTTCCCCATAAACAATAGGAAAAAAGACATTTTGTGCATATGTACTGAATTTTTTTAACCAAAGGATCGGTTTGGTTCTTTTATTTATTAATATACTTTTATGGCTTTATAGTAGTGCAATTCACTTGGATTTACTTTATTTTTTAACTATTAAAATTTTAAATTTATAAAATTTCAAGATTCCTTTTTTAAGTAGAGGGAAAGGATGATTCAAACCTAAATTTATTATCAGGTCATTTTTAAAAAAAAATTCAATTATCAAGTCGTACATATACTTACCATTAGACTATGTTTTAGTGTGCATGGATTATAATATAAGATTTACAAAAAGTTTCAAGATTTAATTAATTATCATCTCTTCATGTATCGCATGAATTATAATATAAAATCTTTATTGCAAATTAATAAATATTATTTTATTAAATATTTTATAATAAAATTATAATACTCGTAAATGAGATAATATTATAGTTAAGTTATATATAAGAATCTTTCACTTTTAGAAGTTAAAAAGATGATAAAAAATTTTAAAAATTAAAATTTTGAAGTTTTACATGTTATAAAAATGTGATGAAAGCTATACTTGGTAATTGCATAGCATATTGGATCTTGATTATGCAATTACCAAGTATAGGGATATAGGTTATACATGTACATTTGATTGTTTCCATGTATGCCCTATCATAATAAATATCACCAATCAACCAAACTACTTTATGCAATCTTTTTTTCTTGTTGAGTTTTTCTTTTTTCCTAGGATAGAATTTGGTGTTCTGAAAAGTCTGTTGGCTTGGGTTAGATTGCTTGGACAAGTTTCTTTGCTCCAATAAAAATATGATAAAATAAATTTATATTGCTGATAAAAAAAATTTAATGGATCATGTGTGAGCCTAAGCTTGTGCGGTCATAATTAATTAGCTAACATGCATGTTGAGAGCTTATGGAATGTATTTATATATTTGACTAAATAATGTTGATTTTTAGATATTTGATATTGATGCATTATATTTTATATTTAGATGTGGAAATTTGGAAGAAATTTTGATTGGATTATGAACCAGAGTTTAGAGTTCATTGGATTGTTGACATATGAGTCTTGAAATTTTTATTATTCAAAGGTGAAATTGAATCCAAAGGAAACGCTATCGAAATTTATTATCAGTTTTAAGAAGAATTTTCTATTGGTCATTAGAGTAATTAAGCAAGCATATCACACTAACTTTCCCCTTCTCCTCCTTTATAACTATTATGTTAATTACAATTTTCTCCAATATTTCAAATAAATATTTTGATAAAATCAAATTTTTCAGAGACCATTCGTTAAACTTAAACATGTCTTACTGTTTGAGTCACTCTCTATAAATTATGATTATAATGTTTTAATCGTTCATTTATATAATAACTTAGAATGCATATAGTCACTCCACATTTAAATAAATATTGTATGGTGTTCTAGATGAATTATTTTCATGCATAAATAAATATTTACCCTTCAAAATCAAAGGGAATTTGAGATCTAGGTTTGCGGTTTAAGCAACAAATTAATTATCCAAAATTTTAATACTTATCAAAATAAAAAAAGAATTGAGATGAAGAGAATGACAAGTATACGAGGAGAATAAAAGAAACTTGTACTTTGTAAAAACAAAATTTTCTATAGAGTGATTGTTAAAGGATTGAATCAAATGGTTGAGATTTTTTTTTAATTTGAATTTAATATCTAAACGTGTATATAGAAGTGAATCTTATAAAACATGAGATGAAAAGTACATATGCACATGAAAGGAAGGCCTTGTTTCATGTTGGTTGTTATGGATTATGTTTGCTTTTCTCAAATGCCTTATTTTTCTCATGATTTTTTTACTGTTTAGATAATTTATTTTGTTTTTGAATATATTATTTTATTTATTAATTATTTACCAAGTCAATAATTAAATTAAGTAAGAAGCTAATAATAGAATTGATTCAAAGTAAATGGTACCAAAATGAGTTTTTACCATTCATACTTTATATGTTGACGTATTTTTCCTTCAAAAAAAAAGAAAATACAAGGTATATAATCAATTATTAAGTTATTAAAACAACATGTTAAGTATAACTATAAGGCAAAACCTCTTTCTTGCTACCTACTTTCCTTTAAACAATTTACCATTGTGAATATATTATTAAAATTAAGATTTAGCAAGCTAATATTATTTTACTAACACATAAAACTACAGAAACTTTTCCATCTCAAATTTAAAACTTCTAGCAAATTTTA